TGGCTGCAGTTGGCTGTGCAGCAACTTTTTCCCCCCTTCTTTAATACATTATCCCAGAGGTGCTACCACTGTGGCTGATGGGCTTGGACTTGGCCAGCGGTAGGTCTGTCTTGTAGCCAGCTGGCATTGGCCAGCTGGCATTGGCTCTGTCGGACATGGGGGAAGCTTCTAGCAGCTTCTCACAGAAGCCACCCCTGTACCCCCCTGCTACCAAACCTTGCCACACAAACCCAATACAAGAGGAAATTTAATGTGTGTCTTAATTTCTGTACATTGCCTCTTGTCCTCTCACTGGGCACTGCTGAAGAGGGTCTGGCTCCCTCTTCTTCATTCCCTCCCATCAGATATTTAAACACACTGACAAGATCCTTCTGAGCCTTCTCTTCTCCAGGTTGAACAGTCCCAGCTCTCAGCTGCTCCTTATATGAAAAATACTCCATTCCCTTAATCATCTTTGTGTCTCTTTGCTGGACTTGTTCCAGTAAGTCCATATCTTGTACTGGGGAGCCCAGAACTGGACACAGTGCTGGGCCAGTTGTGATGTCAAGAATTAGATCCAAATTAAGAAGTTTCTGGGTTTGATTTTGAGTGTCAACACATCAAAATAATACAGCACTGAGTCTACCAGATAATATTTAACATTGACAATCTGTCAGCAATCATAGGCAAGTTGCAAATACATAAATTTTGCAGTGCAAATACAGAATGCATATATAGGCCCCCACACACATACAAACAAGCTCAGACACTGTTTTCAGGGAACATTATATGTTGAACTCATACCCCCCAACCAAAGCAAAAGCAATGCAGAATTCTATTTTCCCATGCCATCTTAATTTAGCTTGTTTTGCACATAGTTTGTGATGTGGTATTTAATTACATCTTCATGGAATATATTTTCCCACTGGACTCCCAAATCGTTTAGTGAGCAGGGTAGACAGTGTTCACTGAGTGCACAGATGGCCAATGTTCTGTTCTGCTTCTTGTTATTTTGAGTATGACCTCTTGGCCTTCCTTACTGACTGGTATTTAAGCCCTGGCACACAGAGTGACCTCAATATCTGCCACTCTATATAGTGGCAGGATGAAGAGACGTTGTCAGTCTGAGGGTAGAGAGACTAATATGAGTGTCTTTTTGGCTTTTCTCATAGCACCTTACTCTACTGTATCTAGTTGCTTCACACATTAATTTATTTTTCCAAAAGTCTTATGAGGAGATGAGATGGGAACCCAGGTAAAGAGAAATGAAGGCCAGAAGTACTTTGGGCTGTCACATTTGTAGCACCTGGGAACCGATTTTTTGCAGTACTAATGTGTTATGAAGAACTTTATACTGCATTTTCCAAGTCGTGGACCTCTTTTCCTCATTGATATCTGGGAATGGAAATCAGATCCCAGGGTCTCAAAGCATGAAGAAAATGAGGAACAAGCAGTCAAATGAGCATCTCAATGTCAGGTACAAGTGATCAGAGGAAAAAAACCTGGGGGATGTGCCTGTAATTCTAGGCTATGGCATGCCACTTTTGCTGAGTCAGTAGCAAGAAGTCCTACCCACCCTCTACCTGTCCTCACTTCCTGGAAGCTGCAGCGGGCTTCTCTCCATCCCCAGGGTTGTCTGCACTGGGAAATAGCTTCAAAGTCCTCCTCACCCATGAGTGAGTAGGCTGGTGTCTTCCTCCACTGTTTCCTCCCTTTCCTTCTCAAGCCGCCTCACAGCCTGTCTTCCCCCTTTCCCTCAGGCTCAGTTTGAGATCCTGCTGATGCTACAACAACTGACTTGGTCACCATTGTAAGGGAAAACTGCAGCAGAAAAAGAAGCATCCAATGCCTCAGAGCGGCACCCTGTCAGGTGTCTTATAACGTTGTCCTTTCCCTCCACCTGGTCTCACTCACTGTGCACGTTAGACTTTGGCAATGTAGGTTGCAAGGTAAAGAGTCTGGTTAGACCTTTCCAGTGGATGATGCTGGTTTGATTCTGGAGCAAAAGGAAAGGGGAGCTGTGGAAAAATCCATGTAGAATCCCGTTCTCCTTTAGCCAGTCCCAGTCTGGTCTTTTCTGCTCATCCATTGTTCTTTGTCCTTATCTCATCCTTGTGCTGGCAAGCCCAGTGTCCTCTCTCCTGGCTTCTCACTCAACTCACGATCTCCTCTCCCAGAAGGTCCTACTTTCCCTGTCATGTAGAAATCCTCATTCTATTCATCCACCCTCCTTCTATCTTCTCCTTCCTTCTGCTGCTGACTTCTAATCCTACAGTCTTCCAGTTGGAGATGTTCAAAGCTCAGCTTGACACAGCCCTGAGCAACCTGCTTTGAGCAGGGGGTGGGACTGCTGAAAGATCAGTCCAAAGGAAAGCCTCAAATGTGGGATTTTGGGATCCAACTTGCATGATTTTCTTGTGATTGTGTGCCCACCAAGAAGAGACTCTGCAGGCTTTTAGCTGTGAAATTCCATCAAATTTCTACAGCATAGTATTCAAATAATAATTTAAAAAAAAAAAGGCTTACAAGTTGGACAAATTTGGCTGAGATTCCCCGGGGACTACAGTTTGCATGATTGTGTTATCTTGGCTTCTAGTGCTCCAGATTTTCAACTCTGCTATCAAAACTTGGAGATGCAAAGGCTGCTTAAAACCAAAATTGCTTGAACATGCAGAAAATAACATCTTTCTTTTTGCCTCAGTCCCAAAAGCAGCTGAACCCTTTTCCTCCAAAATTATCCATACTAATTGTCTGAAGCGCACCCTCGCTGCAAGAAATTTCAGTTTGAATTGCTGACGTCTGGCAATAAGCAGCTGACAAAGAGGTTTTATGGTGGGTTGAGTTTTTTACTGGCCCCTACCTGTACTGGGTAGGGGACTGCAGTCTGCTTCCGAGTACTGACACAGCTCGGTCTGTCATAGAGGATGATGAGGGGATGCTGTGGCAGGTGAACCAAGGCAACCACGCTCTGCCAGAAAGCAGTCAAACCTCCAAACCCATTCTTCTTCTCCTGTCCACAGTATCTGATTTGACTGGAAGTCAGACAAGGCTCCACAGTCCTGAGGCACTGCTAAAGCTCATGCTATTTAATCCTTGGGAGAGGTCTCGGTGAAAAGCAGCCAGTTGACAAAGTAAAGAATATCTTTATATGTTCCCCCAGGAATATTTGATAGTGAAACGAAATTCCAGAATGTATGAAAACAGCTTATTTTATAACCTTTCAAATAATAACCAGTTGGACTTTATAAAAACCAAAGGGGAAGGAAACCTGCCTGAATGATGAAACCTTTAGTGTAATACATTTTGTAATTACCTCTCTTGAGTATTGTTTTAACAGAAAGCCACGGCAAAAATTGCTAGGTGGGCAATAAGAAGAGGAAATGGGAATTCATTTCTTGTGCGCCGTATAGAACAAGGCTCTGTAATTAAGTTGAATATTTTTCAATATTTGAAATACTTCTTCCATTATAGTGTGCCGGGTTAGTTAGCCTTACAGTATGCTGACATTAAAATGGGAGAAAACGCCTGTTAAATATGTCAGTAAAAAAAAGATGCGAGTAGTTTAAAATCTTACCCACTAAAAAAGTGGTCCTCGTAATCTCAATTAAAACAAATGCAAGGGTCGTTAATCCATGAAATAGATTTTTAAATTTGCATTAACTTGGTTTTGTATCTCTAGAACAATGCCTCCAAGCTTTTGCTGGCTATTATGGAAAGCAGGCACGACAGTGAGAATGCGGAAAGAATCCTTTTTAACATGAGACCAAGGGAACTGGTGAGAAAACTTCTGAATATTCATAAATCTTTTGGCTGAAAAAAAATCTGTCATTAAAACATTTTTAAAATGATCTGCATCTAAGCTGAAAAGTGTTGGCAGCATATAGTGGCACAATGTATCAGGATAGTACTAATTCACAAAAAGTACTTTAAAAGGATCAAGCATGCATGATTTCAGTCTTTACGACTTCATTATTTTTATCCGTTCCAAGCACTTTTCTGTAATTGTTTCCTAACTAAATTATCATACTCTGGTAGACTCTTCGAGTACACTTTGTCAGGGGCTGGGAAATTAAGCTTGTACAGTTTGTGAAACAGTGCTAACAGAAGTGTGTGTGTAGACATATATGTATGTATGTTGTATGTTATAGGTCTCATGAGCAAACAGAAAGAGTTACAAGCAGTTGTTGCTGTGTTTTAGAACGACTATGGTACTTGTATAGGTCTCCAGGAATTTTAAATAGATTGTAAGTCTGGAGAAATTATTTCTGATCCAATTGACCATGTAACAGCAGTGACTGAAAAACCTGTTTTGTGGGGAGATCGGTGGGCATCAGCCCCTGCACTTGGGCAGAGCCCAGTGGCTTGCTGGCTACAGGGAGTCATGGCCATGGTGGCATCTCAGCACAATGAGGCCATCCCTAAGGTTGGGTTCCCCCCGTTGGCCCTGTAAAAGGCTTTTGAATATTTTAGCATAACCCCCGCACCCTGCCCAGATCTGTATCTTCCTTTTCTTTTTGGTTTAGTGGGTTTTTTCTGTTAGACTGTGTGGAGAATGCTGAATGACATGGCAGCCAGCTCTAGCCAGAGAGGGATCATGGCTGCACTCTAAGTGCCGCAAGACTCTACCTGTATCTGTAGATCTGTCTTTAAAAGCATTTGTGAAGATACCTATTCAGAAAGGCTCCGTGTCCCTGTTCCTTTCTTACGGTTGCAGAAGGTTTATTGATGAGAAATGTAGCAGTTTGGAGCTTCATAAATACTTCAAGCTTGTCTTTATTCAGAAAGCATTTCTCAGATGGCTCGCTCTTCTTGCAGGACTGCAGGGCACCCATCCAGGCTTGAGCTGAAAGCGAGCGTGTTCAGACATGGTGTTTGGTGCTTTCCCCCCCAAGAATGACGGTTATTTCATCTCTCCTTGGTTGGGTTTGTGTTACAGGTGGATGTGATGAAGAATGCATATAACCAAGGCCTCGAATGTGACCATGAGGAGGAGAATGGAGATGATGGCATCTCCCCAAAAGATGTTGGCCATAATATTTATATTTTGGCACATCAGGTATGTCTTATTTGTTGTGTGACTGCTTCCAGAAAAGTGTTACATGGTTAAACTCCACACAAAACCTGTTTGATCAAAAAGAGGAGTTTTCCCTTCTTGTGATTTCTGGCTCATGTTTGTGTACAACATGACTTTATCTGGAAAGTTGCTGAGAGCAGGACAAGCGAGCAGTCTCACCATATGAGTAGGCACTCTACAGGATTTGATAGGCTCTGTCTGAAATAACGATGTAGAGCAAAGCAGTTAATGTACATTTAGCTTTGTCTTCTTTTAACATTAACAGCTCATTCATATCTACCCAATTGTAAGTCAAGGTATTGTTATTGCAGTATTTAAATAGTAGCTTCAACCGTGATACTGAGTGAACTTGAATTGAGAACATTTGTATTATTTTAGATAAATTAATTAGCCAATAAGAATAGTAGGACCTTTTGACTGTTTCTCCTTTTGAATTATGTTGTAGTGCCCTCAAGTTTTTTCTGATCACTTTTGCTTCTCTACTGGTAAAGGTAAAATGGACACTGACAGTTTTTATTTAATGGGATATTAATTCTTCAGAGGAGTTGGTATCAAAAATAGTCAAAAATAGTTTATTTTTCAATTGTGATAAGAGTCTTGAAAAGATTTTTTAAATGAAAAAAGTAAAGAACACTTTTTTTTTTTAAATTATATCATGAATGATAGCGTTTGGTATGTCATATAAGGGCCAAATTTTAAAAAAATGTTTTTACTAAGTAAGAAGAAATAAACAGATAGGGATAGGGAGTGTTCCACATTCATTATACGTATTAAGTGTTGTTAGGAATTGAATACTCAATGGAAAAAGAAAAGAAAGCAATCTGTACTTATGCTAGTATTATGCAGTGTTTCTTTCAAGCAAGGAATGGAAAAACAGTTACTGAATGATGCTTGCATGCTTGCAGCATATTTAAATAAGTAAGTCTTGTTATTGTGTTCTTGTTATGGAAGGCCATGTTCTACTCTTGCGCTGTATGTACGTAAGATACCCACCAAAGATGACAGAATTTTTAGAAAGTATCTGTAGTGGCTTACCCTGTTTGACTATTTACTCCTTGAAAATTGAGGTGCCTGCCGAATCAAAATGTATTTTATGTCTTATGCCTACAGTTTGTGTTAGGTGACTTAACGGGGTTCATGACAATGGAAAATAAATTCTGGGGAGTAGAATATAGGCCTAAAACTATATATGAAGTGGCTGCTGGGGTCATTTTACCCGAGAGGTCACTGCCAAGGGTACACTAGCTAGCTGAGGTGTAGATTAAGCTCTGTCCGTAGATACATGTGCAGGGTGCTGGGGAGGCCCATGAAGCCACTCCACAGCTATTCCAAATGCCTGACCTGTAGTCAGGATTTTGGTTGCATAAGGCTCATGGCAGCAATTTACTGAGCACCTTCCTGTTCTGTAGAATTAAATGGCATGATTGGCTCTGTATGCTGTAAAAATATCCATCTTTTTTTTTTTTTAAAAAAAGAACTATTTTCCTCCTCTTGCATTTCTGTAACACAGTACGTGTGTCTGTTTACAATAGCTGTGCACCCGTGTCAAGCCCCGTACCAAAACAAAGCAATGGAAGGGCAGGCAATCTGGGGCCTTTCTCTCTCCTCTGCTAATGAAAAGCTGTGATTCTTGGCACAGGACTGCTGATCTTTGACCCCAAACTCTTTCCATGTGCGCCCTTTCGCTCGCCCTGGGATGGGCAGGATACGAGCATGGTCCCTCCTTAGTAAGGCCATTGTTGCCGGGTTCCTTTGCTGGCTCCACTCTCCAAACACCCTCTTACACTTTGCTGTGTCGAAGTAGCTTTTTGGTGGCTGGGCCTTCCACTCAGCTTAGCTGGTGTGATTTACATTATATTTCTTTGCTGTGCTCCTTGCAGTTTCACAGTTCATCTGACTTTTTTTTTTTCCCCCCTACAACCAGTGTGGCTCTTCAGTCACTTTCCTGACACTTGCTTGTGACCACTTGCTCTAGTTACAGCTTTTTGGTCCCTCTGTAATAGCAGAATCAAGACCAGGAGTTCCTCTTTTTGCTGTTAGAGCCCTCAAACACAGACAGTTTATTTTGGGGAGCTCAGACTTTCAGTTTTTGTCGTTGCACTCTTCAGGGTGATGGTGGGTTCTGCATTTTGCCACCACTGCATCCTTCCTTTTCCTTTCTGTGGTTCATTTTACCAGAAGCAAAAGGCATTCTTGTAAATGTTTGACCCGCAGTGCATAGAAAGTTATAAATGTGTTACAAGCAAGGCTGAGATTTCTGTTATTAAATCTCCTTTACAGCCTCCCTACCCCAAATGCATACGCAGGCACATGTATGCACGTGCATGTGCACACAGGTGCATCACACCCACACGGGTACATCACACGCACACACACAAACACACACAGGTGTGTGGGCACAGCAGCCTGGGACATGATGGAAGAGGCTGACTGTTAACGTGACGGTAAGAGGTTGGCTGTTAAATGTGCCGTGTCATGACAGTTATCACGTCTGTTCCACATGTTTCTCTGTCCCCTCGTTTCTTTTCTTTATTTCTTCATCCTCCTCCAGCCTGCCACGTGCCGTAGCCGTGCTGCTTCCCCTGCACTGACTCCAGGCTGTCGGGAAGCTGCTGCTTCTCACTTTTCCCATTTGACGTATCATGAGCAGAGAGGAGAAGGGAGCGCCACCAGGAGAAAGCAGAAGTGACTTATCCATGAGGAACTACCCTGAGGTGCACCCCTACTCTGCAGCCTGCCTTTGGGGTAGAGGCTCCTTCCAGACCTAGCTCTTCTACAGCTGCTTGTGGAGGAGTGGCTCAAACTGGTGCTTGAGGTGGCATCCTGGAAAAATAAGCCTATTCTTGCTAGGTAGAGAGCATTCGCAATTCTCTTAAAAATCCACAGAGGAGATTCTGTTCTTTGTCTTGTTCACATGTCATGCTCAGAGCCAAGGCTTCAACTTGACATTGCCAATTTCTTAGTCTGGGGTGAATGCCAGTGGTGTGTTACGGATAGTTCCATCAGCTCTTACACCTCTTCTTTTCCAGCCTCAGTTGAAAGAAATTGGTGTGGGTTTTTTATTACTGTGCTTTTAAAAGATCCTGTTAAAGCAGGCTGCACTTTGTTTTGCAAAGTCAGTAAGGCTGTCCACGAAGGGACCTCATCTTGATGTGATGTCTCTGTAGAAGTCTCAAAAGCTTTTGACATAGTAGCACAAAAAGTTTCATACTTACTCACTTCTTATGTACAGAAGTATTAGTAAAGGACAATCAGGTTTTTAAATGGCTACCCAAAATAAAGGAAATCCTGAAAGGCTAATGAAGTCTTCTGGCTTTTCAGGTGACCGCTTGAGCTTGCTACCAGTTAGTTATAACAAAGTATTTCAGTAGTTTGTAAACTAAAAAAAGGCTTTCTTGGAGTTAGTAGTATTTCTGTGAAGTTCGTGACCCCTTTACATTTACTATGAAGTAAGATAAGGCACTGGTTATAACCACAGGCTCCTGTAGTTTGCATGCATGTGTATATGTGCTTGCATTAACGGAAAATACTTCAGAGTGTTTCTCTGTGTTTTTCAACTAGATGCAAACTCTCTCAACTGGGCAGGAAGCCCAAGTTAATACACTGTACCTTTCAGCAGGGGCTTTATTCATGAGGCTCAGAAGAACGCAAAGTAACTTCACGTAGCTTCTAGTCAGCTTGCACCGTGGGAAGCACGCACTTTCACCTGCCTGTAAAACCATGTAGAGATGTCCTTGATCTGGGAGGATGTGAGTGGGTAGGAGTAGGGAAGCAACTTGTAATACTGTAACAAAATTTTCAAATTTTCAATGCCTTGTGACTTCCTCCATCTGGTTCCCAAAGCTGTTACGGGAGCATAGGGGTTCTGACCTCCCGTGTCACCCCTTTCATGATTCATGTTCCGTGCTCTCACACACGCAAAATGTTTACTCAACTGCCCGATTTTAAGCGTATGCTTAAATGCCTTGCTGGAGAGGGAGCATAGGTCTTGGAATTCCACAATACCTTTGTAACTACCAGGTAAATAGAAGGGTGGGGGGTTTTTTATGAGGTTAAGCTAAAAACGTCTTTAAATCCCAACAGAGTACCAAAGCTACTTATATTTTTATAATTCCCTGGTGACACCACAGCTTAAGAAAAAGTAATTTCCTCCAGCCCATATGGTTAGAAGAAATTAACGCTGCTTGATATCAGTGGAGGTATACAACATAAACGAACACGAGCTTGAACCAGGCTACCTTCTGATAGACTAACACAGTTGGAAGTGTTCTTCCATTGATAAGTTCTTGGAATAAACGGAGCGAAAAGCGGCAGGATTTGCTGTGAATTGTAAGGTTCTTGCTGCAGGTACTACTAAGCGTACTGTAGCAATTGGACATAATGAGTAAGTCATACTCCTTCCTCTCTGGTACTAATTTTAAATGGACTCAGCAAAATAAGTCATTCAGCCTTATATATATATATATGTTTAATATATTAACTACATTAATAGCAGAATCAAGATTTCTGTGTCAAACTTGGCAAGCTTTATCAAACTAATGTCTTACTACCATGTTTACTTCATGCAGTATATTGCATATTAGTGTACACATATGAAGAATATTTGCTAACTAGGCAATTAAAATAGTAATAATTGATGGCATAGATTTATAGTTTGGGAGTAGTGGTGCACTACAGCCTATTTTTTAAAAAGTTACTATTTTTGACATTTGAAATAGGACTGGTTTGATAATCAGACTTGGCTATGATACATTTATTAAGGAGAAACTAAAGTCAGTTTTAAAAAATTTAGCTATCCAAATATGTAAAATTCTAAGAAGCACAAAGCCTTTTGTTTCTGTGGGTGTCTGTTTAGCATGTCCCTCGATATCTTTCATTGGGTTTGAGTACAGCAAGGACTGGGACCAGCTTTATTTTCCACATTAATGCTGTGCCTAGAACCGTGTGGTTCTGGGACTCATATACTACAGCAGAACAAATAA